AGTGAGTTCCAGGTTCAGTTAGAGACGTTCCTCCAAAATAAGGTACAGAGCAATAGAAGAAGCCACCAGAATTTGACCTCTGGCCTCCATGCTCGAACGTGCACACACGGGAAGTTTAAAAAAAAAAAAAGTATAACTCCATCCTGTCAAAGGGCAGCCTACTGTTTTAGTTAAGCCCTACTTTGGATCAAACTTTATTAGAATGTGGGAAGCTAGATTTTTGTTCTGTCATCAATTTAGAAAAACAAGGCAGCAAGACTTAAAGTATTCCACCCTACTTCTGTCTTTAAGTTTACATGATCAACTTACTTGGCAGCTGCTGAGGCTTTATTCAGTTAACTTTGCCTTTTTGGAAAAGATTTCTTCCCAATCTCTACACTTGCTCTTTTCTGCACACATCTGTTCATTTGTTGGATGGTAATCCCAGCACTAGAATGATACACATCCTTCCTGTATTGCTGTAGCCCTTAAGCCTAGCTCATTCCATCAGATGACATACCAATTTTAAGAACACCTCTGTCCTGCTTTTCTTTGGAAGTTATATGCTCTACTTCTATTCTTTGAACAAAGCTAATATGGACGCTCAGTTTCAAGAAAGTATCTTTACTTTTCTCTCAAATGCAAGAATCTGAGAATTCTGTTCTAATCACCCTTCAATATACATGTCATTGTCCAGCATTCTAATTTCCTTCTGTCCAGCATCTAATTACATGCCACCTTTATGTAAAGCCTATAACATTTACATCATTTACCAGGGCTTTGAATCTGCATTCCACTGGAACTCATTGACCCTAAGCCACGTCTTGTTACAGTCCATGCTAATGCTAACAAACATCCAAAGTATTTAAGGACTGGCTTATGCATCTTCTATTCCCAGCTTTTGAGCACCTGGTCAAAGTCTGTAAGAGTTGTTTCTGAACGCTGAGAGGAAACACACTGACTTCTGGAAAACATCCAGAATTATGGCCAACAAAGTACCACTTGAAAGTCCCTATTTACTGGTTTTTGAGTCACACAGGTAGCCTAAATTTGGTATTCACACCCTCCTATCTTTTATCAAGATCAGGACAAATTCTTTGTTGCCTCCCTCAATGGATTATTTGTTGTATAATAGGTGTGCACGAACTTTGTGGGGTCAGTTTTCTCTTTCCACATATATATGGGTTCCAGGCATAGCAAACCATCTGATCACGAGTATTTATTCATACTTGTGCTGGGGTATTCATCTTTACATGGATTCCTTCCTTCCCACTTTCCCACATTCTTTAGAAGCTTAAAGTATGCTGTGCTTGGCAATAACTCCGAGTAAAGCTGGGTTATCAGATACTTGCAAGGGTTCCAGTCTTGGCTTTGTTTAGAAGATCAGCTTTCTTTTGTGCTTCTTGAGCAGTGGGTTTAAAGTTATCTTTTTTTTTTTTTTTTTAAATACACAGCTAGATGTAGTTCAGTGTTAGAATGTTTACTTAATGTGTGAAGCCCTGAATTCAATCCCAACAAGGCAGGAGTGAGAGCATTTTTAAATAACTGTTTATCTAGCATGCTACTTCCCTCTGCTCAAAGATTCTCGGGGAATCTAATTCACCATACTTCCAAAAGCAAAAGCCTGAATAGTAAAAAGGAACCAATACCAATCCTATAAGGATTAAGATGAAGACAAGGAGGGCCAAAGGGGTGATAAAGATGGGTGAAGAGCATCAATGAAACAAATTGTTTGAAAATGCCATAACAAAACAAAACAAAAAGATGAAGGTAAAAAGTTTATAGGAAGTGGCTGGAACATAATCAGGAGTCCCACCAAAACTCCTTTTCCTCAGATACATTACAGCATTTGGACCTGTGTGTCCATTAGCACTAGAGATAGTAGGGAATGGCAGCAAGACATGGTTGTATCTTCAAAGTGGAAGTGACTGTCCTTTGCTGCAACAAAACCAGAAATGGATAGAGACAAGGGTAGCACTGGAAAGTACAAAAATGTTTGAAATTCCTACAATCATAGCAGCATGACAAAGCTTTTCATGAAGCTCACTGTGGCTCATTGGCCCTGGTCACTGTACGATACACAAAATAAAAACTCAAACTGTCACCAGGTGGTGGTGGCACACACCTTTAATCCCAGCACTTGGGAGGCAGAGGCAGGCAGATCTCTGTGAGTTTGAGGGCAGCCTGGTCTATAGAGCGAGTTCCAGGATAGGCTCCAAAGCAATACAGAGAAACCCTTTCTCGGAAAAAAAAAAAAAAAAAAAAAAAAAAAAAAAAAAAAAAAAAAACAAAAAAAAAAAAAAAACCAAAACCTCAAAACGGTCCTAATGCAAACAGATCCAAGTGGTTGTTCTTAATGGCAATTATCTGCCTTGCTTCTCCAGCTTTCTTTCATGTCCAGTAATCCTGGGTGGAACAGCTTAATAATTGATATTTTAAGGGAGAGTTAGCAGAAAAGCCAAGAAGTCTGTTCTATGAAAAGAAGTTTGCTTCAGGCAGTATCATATTTCTTTCATGTTTATGTTTTCTTGAACTAGGCCCTCTCTCTGGAATGATTCATTTTCAAACCTGACCTCTTTGGCTTTGGACAATAGAGCCACTTGCTCTCTAGTTGAAATACCCTTTTGTAGACAGAAGCAGTTCATTAATTCATTATAATCCAGGACATTCTTTCTGCATTAAAGGGCACCATATTCAGGGACAGACTGCCGGTGGAATCCTGGGAATTACCTGGATGATCTGAAGTATGGAGAAATATTAGAACTCACAGCCTCTGCACTTCCTTTAAAACAAATGTTTCCTTTTATAAATTATCTATTTTATCATCACCACATTATCCATACTCACTACTATTGCCAAGAGAGTTAGTCCATCATTCCAGGTTCTACATGGAAAATAAGCAAGTGTCCTAGACCAGGGTTGCAAGGTAGATAACCACATACATCACATAACCTATGTCATTCTACAAGGTTCAGATTCCGGAGACCAACCTATGAATCAGTTTCCAAAGTGAAACATGGGATTATGATGTTGGTATAGTACCTATGGTCTTGCGCCTGTAGACAAGCACTCTAGCTTAGAGCTATAAGGCCCATCCCTCAGAAGCCTGAGGAGGTGTGCAGGTGGGCAGGTTGGTCTTTTGATTTTCTGAGATAAGAATCTGGCAATATAGCCCAGGATGGCCTCAAACTTACAGCAAGCCTGCTTCAGCTTCCCAGATGCTAGAATTAGAGACATCTTTCATCACAGCCAATTTCTGGAATCTACATTTTCAACCAACAGGCCAGGTAATTTTTATATACTTGCTCAGGTCCACAAAACTAGATCTACTGATTCTATAATGCTAAAAAAGTACTAAGGGGGATGGAGAGATAAACTAATAATTAAGAACACTTTGCTTTGTGGGCCCAGTGGACCCAAGTTTCATTCCAAACACCCACTGGCTAACAATTGCCTTTGACTCTAGCACTGAAAGGATCTGGTTTCCAGAGGCACCCACACAACTGGCACACACTCATATACACACACATATACATATATACATATATATATGGGGAAAACTTTATAAAAAGTACTAAGAGGGGCAGCAGTTGAGAGCATTGGTTGTTCTTCCAGAGCACCCAGGTTCTATTCCCAGCATCCACATGGCAGCTCACAACCATCTACTGTAACTCCAGTTCCAGAGGATCCAACACCCTCTTCTGGTTTCTTTGGACACTGCACACATGTGATGCAGGCAAAACACTCATACACATAAAGTGAAAAGATAACAAAACAAAAAATTAATAAGAGCCATGAAGGAACAAACTCCAAAGGTTTCTAATGTTAGAGTAAGCAAGAACTATCAAGATGCATCAAAAGTACCATCAAGTCTGTCAAGAAATTTATCAGAAAATCAGGCAACATGGCACAAGTCCATAATCTCAGCACCTGGGAGTCAAAAGCTTGAGGACTGATCTACATAGTCACAAGTCAGCCAGGGCAAGAGTGAGGCTTTGTATTTAAAAACCAAACAAATATAGGTGATATGTACCTATAACCCTAGCACCGAGACAGGAAGGAGGACCATAAGCTTGAGGCCAGCCTGCAGTACTTTTTTATCTACCATAATACTAATGGCCAGGGTTTTCTGCATGGATAGAAATCAAACCTCGCTGCAAAGCAAACTCTGTATGTTTTTTACTTTGTATTTTATTCTTTAGATCTAAGACTACAGGTATTAGTGCAAATCAAGCCTTAATGTGCACAGCTAGTGTGCTTGGGTTCCTTGGTCTCACAAGCCCAAAAAGTTCTCATACTTAAATCTAGTATAACATGGTGATCCTGAACAACCAAATAATTTTAACTTAAGATGTGAGTATACAATAAGCTTTTTACACAAATTCTCTTGAAGTTTTTAAACTATATGACAGCACATTAAGGGCCCTGGAAAAGTGTCTTCCTATGAGTCTGAATCTTTGGCATCTGCCATAAAGATAACTCTCAGTAATCTGGTTTCTGTTAACCAGCAATATACAACTTGGCAGGCTATCTATCCTATCAAACGCCCTGACCATCTCTATGAGGCCTGTGATCAGTGCTCATGTGCAGAGGACTTTGAACTCTTTCACATTTACTAAGGTAGCAGTTGGGATTGCTGACTTTAACCCTCTAGATTTAATGTATTGTGTTCAAGACAGCCATTTATTCCAAGGGCTTTGTTCAGAGTTGATTTTGTCAAACGATGGGAGAAAACCCCAGAGAATGAGGAAGCTATCAGTCTGCACTCTTCAGTTTCTGTCTTTATTAGCAGTAAGTTTTTCTGCTCTACTTCAGCCACTGATTAACTGACTCTGGGGTGGGGGTTGTTCCAAAGAATGTTCCATGATAAGAATTAAGACCAAAACAAAAGTAAACCCATCCTGAGACAACTTCCTTCTGGCAGTCCTGAAAAGAAAAAGACCACTGATACCAAAATAACTAAGATGAAAAGGAGGGAAGAAATACAGCTTGAAGTGAAGAAATGACACAGACCTCCCACATACACACTTTAAAAACTTTATTTATATAAAAAACTCATTTGTTTTTAAAAGCATTAACAAGAGAGAAAGAAAAAGAGAAAAGATACAGAGCAGAAGACATGCCCCTTAGTAGTGTTCGGTGGGAAGGTAGGATTTTTGGTTTGCTGAAATTGAATGTTTAGTGTTTTTATAAATGAAAGAGAAAACAAAACAAAACAAACAAACAAAACAGTTAAAGGTCCCCCAAAGCCCATGGCTATTCTATTACCCACACCCCACCGAAAACAAGAGCACCAGGAAGAGCAGAGGACAAGAGAAACTGAGAATAGAGCCAGGTCTGGGTGGGTGAGGCTCCCTGTGTAGTGTACTCTGAGGGTCACAAGGAGAGGCTCTTTTTGCCAGAAAAGGTGGATGGGGGTAGGAAGAAATGGGAGGGAAGCAAACGGTTAAAAAAAAAGAAAGAAAAAAAAGGGGGGATTGGTGGGTTGTGCACTTTTCTCCTACCCCATAGCCTCAATATATTAAGGAACAGGACAAGAGGGATAAAGAATTCCAGTTGCATTGAATAGAGCTTTTACATTAAGGAACAAAAGCAAATAAGGGAAAAAGTTTAAAAAAAAAAAAAAACCAACCCACATAGTAGCTGATTCTCTAGCTCAACCTGTAATATTCCCTACTATTGGAAAGGGTATAATGGAGGCAAAGGAACTGGCCAGAAAGCCTTAATTCCCTATAACCTTTCAGAGATGATGGGAACTGGGGACAACTAATAAAAGAGTCATGGCACTCCCTTCTACCAGCCTCACTTTGAGACTTAAATCATGAGATAGTCACCAATCCCCACTGTACACTGTTGAGCAGAAGCCTGCTGCGGCTAAATCAGAGGCTATAACAACCCCCCAGGGGAATTGGTCATCACTCCTTTTCTTTCCTTCAGCTACTAAGGGTCAACAGTGGTTAAGAAAATAACAAAATCTAACTTGCAAAATCATGAAAAATGAGACTGCAGAGGCAAAGAAAGGCACGTGGAAGAGAGGGAGGAGATGCACCCCAGGCCAAAGGCACAAAGAGGAGGCAAAGCCAGGGCAACTCCTACCTTAGAAGGGCAAAGGGGGCAGGAGTTATGTACAAGTCTTGTAGTTGGCCAACAAATCCAGGGAGGGAGAGAAGGAGGGACAAGCCTATAAAGGAAGAAGAGAAAAGGGGCAGGGAAGGTGGGGAAAGCCAGCTTTGAAGCTTCCTGCCAGTCTCAGACTAACCGCTTCATGTACATTCCTTCTACTTCTTCCTAGAGGTTCATCTTTTCCCCGATAGACAATCTTTATGCTTCTTCTCAAGCAAGAAGTGTTCCATGGCGTTCTCTTTTCTACATAGCCTCTTGCAAACAGCCAGGTCAAGTTAGCAGATTTATCACAGGGTAAGAGAGGAGGGTTGAGGACAGCCTTGGTCAGGGCAGCACCCTAAGGTTGGCCTGAAGCTGACAGAAGAGATGGAGTCTGTAGGTCCTTTGTGGTCTCTGTCTCAGACAGGAGGAACAAGAGTTCTCAATCCCAGTTTGAGGAGTACCTCGCTTACTGGAGGATCCCTGCCAGGTGGAATGTGCCAATGTTTCCAGCCTTCTTGGCTTCAAAAACAGCCACTGGATAAGGGAAGAACTCATATTTCCCATTATCCAAAACAAAATTAAAAGTTCCCTCCCCACCAGAAAGATAGTCTTGATTAAAAGTCATCAGTTTGTCAGAATGCTGAATGCTGCATATACAGCGTGCAATTTTCAGTTCTTCCCACAGCTTCCAGCGAAGAGTTCCACTCTCTCCCTCCCTCCCACACAGGCCAAGAGTCCAGGGAGGGCTGGCAAAAAGAGCTAATCTGCAGCAGTCTCTCAAGATATGCAAATAACTGAGTCAGGTTTCTTGGGGAAACTGGAGGTAGGGGGGATGGGAGGACAGGACAATTAAACTTCAGTGGAAGGTGTTGATGGAATGAAGGCAGCCACTCTGGGCTATAAGGGTAGGAGGCAGCCTGGCAGTTGGCACAATAGTCCAGCGAAGAAAGGAAAAAAATCATCAGTCCATTTCACCACCAAAAATAAAAGTAATATATTATATGCTCAGATGGAGCAGGTAGAGTGGTGCTAAATCTTCTGCTGTAGGGGAAAAAAAAGAGAGAAAGCTGTTAATAAGGTTGAGAACAGGAAGACCTGGAGGAGAACAAGGCAGCTGAATAAATCTGGAGTCAAGAAAGCAGCACACACAGAGAACCCGATTGATCATCCACTGTACCCCAGCTCTGAAGAGGTCAGGGTCACAGAAGCAGAAATCCTTGGGCCCCACATGGCTCAGACAAGTGTCTCAGGCCAGATCAGATCAGCATGATTGGCAAAGAGTAGGCACACAGAGGCCTCCTTCTTAAGGACCATTTTAGGGGTGACTGGAGGACATACCATGGGGGAGTAAGACACTTGGTCCCCCTCATCATCCAAAACCAACACATCCAACTCTTCCTCCAAAGATTCCTGCCCCTCGTCCTGCTGTGAACACATGCAATTTGTTAGTAAGAGAGCCAAGGTAAGAACCTCTAACTGCGCTAGTTAGGAATACCCCAAAGTTTGTAAACCAACACTGCTAAAAGTAAAAAAGGTGAAACACCCCCAAGGTAAGTGCAAGAACAGGGTAATGTATGAGAGAACAGATTAGTTCATGTTAGTCACATCAGTAACACTTATAAAGACATCCTCCAACACAATGAAGACCATCCCAAGAAACTTCAAGATGCATCAAAACCTCTACTTTTTCCTGAAAATACCTACCAAAGAAAGATATTGTCTCTTTACTTTCCCCATTTCATATATCATACAGTTTCAAAATACTATCAGCCTTGTCTACACAGCACTAAGTATATAACAAGGATTTACCATCAAGGGTGCTCCCTTCAATGGCTCCATATCACCCAGATCCCCAGATCGATCCAGTGTTCTATTGTGGTCTCCTCTTTCATTCAGTGTGGAATAGTTGTTGTCTAGAGAAAAAAGTACACAGAAACAATATAGTCTCTCTAGTATACAATGTATATCAATTAGGCATCTCGATAGAGAAGTGAGCTAGTTGTTCCAGATGCTCCAAAGCATAAAGACTGATACTTTTTAATACTTAAACATAACTGGAATATGATGGGGAAAAGAATGTATGTGAAATACCCAGTACTAGGGATGTAGTTTAGTGGTAGAGTGGTTATCCTAGACTCAATTCCCACCACTGCAAAAACAACAAAAGGATAATAATCAACAACAACAATGTATCCTATGGTGGGTAATACTAAAGAGATCAATTGGGATTGCTTATAGAAGCTCTGAAATTAGGAGAAGACAGAGAAGTAAGCTGCAATTGGAAGGAACTGACAGAGCAAAACACAACTTGAGTTCAGCCTTTGGGAATGAAAAGAAGTTAGAAGACCAAATGGGAAGGATGTTCCAGTAGAAGGCTTAATATACCCAAGGTTTTTAAATAATGAACACTTTGTTGGATGTCCTGATGTAAACCTACAATTGCAGCACTTGGGAGGTGAAGGGATGAGGATCCACAGATGTTCAAGATCATCCTCAGCTATATAGTGAGTTCAATGTCAGTCTGAAATATGGGAGACCCTAATAATAACAAATAATAAAGTAGAATGATAAGCTAGAATAGCAGGTAGGCAGGAGGCCCAAGAATTCAAGATCATCCATAGCTAACCAGGGCTGTGAGACCCTGCCTCAAAGGAAAAAAAAAGATCAGCTAAACTGAAAGTAGGGAGAAAGGAAACAGAGAGAGAGAGGGAGGGAGAGAGAGAGAGAGAGAGAGAGAGAGAGATCAGGGCAGATTATATGGGCACATCAAAACTTTCTGAGAACATATTAGGAGGATCAAAAGTTCAAGGTCGGGGGCTGGAGAGATGGCTCAGCAGTTAAGCACACTTGTTGCTCTTGCAGAGGGTCTGGGTTGGCTCCCATCACTCACATGGTAGTTCCCAACTGTCCCTAATTCCAGTTCTAGGGGATCTTACCTCTGAGGGCATGAAGCACCACACATGGTAAACAAGCATACCAGCAAAACACTCACACGCATAATATAAAGTAAATAAGCCAGGCATGTTGACAAACACTTTTAATCCCAGCACAGGGGAGGCAGAAGCAAGCAGATCCCTGTGAGTTCAAGGTCAGCCTGGTCTACAAATTAAGTTTCAGGACAAACAGGAATACACAGAAAGAACCTGCCTCAAAAACATAAAAATTTAAAAAAAATTTTTTTGAGAGTTTTGAGGAAATTTAAGAAAGGTTGTCCCATCCAAAGCAACATGTAAAAATGTAGATAAGAATAGATTATTCAAATTTTATTATATTTCCAGATATCCTTTCAAATGGAGATTATTAATCACAATACTTCAAGGATAAGGGTGTTTAGGGAGGTAAAAAGCTACAGAAAAAAAAAAAGCCAGACATGGTGGAGCATATCTATAATCCCAGCACTTGGGAGGTGAAGGCAGGAAGATCAGGAGTTCAAGATCAGCCTTAACTGCAGTTGATTTCAAGACCAGACTATGTAACTTAAAATACTCTCTCAAAAAAGAAAGGAAAAAGAGAAAATACCTACTCACCCCAATTAAACACTATTCTGCAACATTAGACAGGAAATCATCACCTACCTAATGATTTTGTGTTTGACCCCATATTGCTCATTGGAATTTCTTCCCGGTCAGGTTTCTTATCTATATGGAATTAGAAAGTTATCCAAATCAAAATCCAATACACCAAAATCTATATAAAGTACACATTTCTCTCTGGCATGCCATCCTTCCCTGCCTTTATTCAAATATCACTTTACTCAGCACATATGATGGGCCAAATACTAATCACAACCTACAGTTACGGGAAAGCCCTCTCCTACAGAAACCTAAATACAAGAAGATTTCAGAGGCCAGAAAACAGCTCAGTGGATGTAAGCACTTGTTGCCAAGCCTGATGGCCTGAGTCTCATCCCTGGAATCAACTTGTGAAAGGAACTGACTCACATAAACTGTCCTCTGACCTCCATATATGTACCTACACACCCAAACAAAATAAACAAATAAACAAATAAAAAGCACTTCAGCAATCTGAGCCATTATATCTCAAAGTTTCTTTAGTCTTCAAAATTATGAAGGTCTAGATTGAAGATGTGGCTCAAAAGTAGGTAAGGCGGGCTGGAGAGATGGCTTAGAGGTTAAGAGCACTTACTGCTCTTCCAGAGGTCCTGAGTTCAATTCCCAGCAACCACATGGTGGCTCACAACCATCTGTAATGAGATCTGGTGACCTCTTCTGGTGTGCATATATACATGGAAGCAGAATGTTGTATACATAATAAATAAAATGTTCAAAAAAAAAAAAAAAAAAGTAGGTAAGGCATTCGCCACCAGAAGCTTAGATTCAGTCCCAAATCACACACATATAGAATAAATTAAGATGCAAAGGACTTTTATCGGTGTGGAATAAGTACATAATACTATATTCAGAAATGTAAACATCTATTCCACTTAGAAATACACTTATTACATAATCATAATCACCTTCAATTTAAAAAGCATTGTGTGTGGACTGCAAAGGTGGCTCATTGGAACAAGCACTTGCTGTGCAAGCCTGACAGCCTGAGTTTATTTCCCAGAAGCCATGAAAAAATACAAGAACCAGCACCACAGAGTTGTCCCCTGAGCTCTACTTGAAAGCCACAGTATATGTATGCCCACAACACATACCATGTCTACAATAATAATAAATTTGAAAGACCAAAAGAAAAAAAAAGTAAGGAGCAGTTTAACATTTTTATATACCTCTTTTAACTTTGATTAATAAGCACACTCCCATAATTTTAGCACTTAGAAGGCAGAGGCAGGGATCACTGGTTCTACATAATGAGTTCCAGGCAATTGTAGGGTCCATGGCAAGACCCTGTCTCAAGAAAGATCATAAAACATAGATGGATAAGCTGTCTTGCCCTTGAATTACTCATATAGGATTTTGAAATATCATGGCATTGTCTCCCTGCAAGATAATGGTTTACAGAATTATGCAAATGTTATAAAATTAACACATTTTAGTAGTATACATGTGTATTTTTAAAACACATTTATATCATCACTTACATAATCATAAAAGTCATTTTTAACTTGATACTTCTATTCTTTTTTTTGGGGGGGGGGGGGGTTTGAGACAGGGTTTCTCTGTGGCTTTGGAGGCTGTCCTGGAACTCACTGTTGTAGACCAGGCTGGTCTTGAACTCAGAGATCTGCCTGCCTCTGCCTCCTGAATACTGAGAATAAAGGCGTGCGCCACCAACTTGAGATACTTCTATACTTTTTTTTAAATAAAATTTATTTATTTATCATATATACAATATTTTGCTTGCATGTACACTTTCATGCCAGAAAGGGTGCCAGATTTTATTACAGATGGCTGTGAGCCACCATGTGGTTGCTGGAAATTGAAATTAGGTCCTCTGGAAGAGCAGCTAATGCTCTTAACCTTTGAGCCATCTCTCCAGCCCGATACTTCTATTCTTAACACCTTATTTTTTAATTTTTCTATTACTGCAGTGTGTGTGTGTGTGTGTGTGTGTGTGTGTGTGTGTCCGTCCCCATCCATACTGTGACATGGATGACCCTACAAAAAGCCTTTTAAGTACTGGGAAGTTACCAAGCTCAATAACATGGGTATGATTTTTCTTTTCAGGGGAGGGGAGACAGTGTTTTACTCTACATGTCAGGCTGGCCTTCCAAGTGCTAGGTTGAGTCACCACACTCGGCCAAAATTATGTGGTTATATTGTTTACTCAGGTAGTAAATACTGTCAGTTTTTGCTGTTGGGTTTTTGTTGCTGCTGTTGTTTCGCTTTGTTTTATTTGTTTTTCTGATACAAGGTTTCTCTGCATAACCCTTGGCTGTCCTGGAACTCACTCTGCAGACCAGGCTGGCCTCAAACTCACAAGAGATCTGCCTGCCTCTGCCTCTCAAGGACTGGTATTAAGAATGTGGTGCCACCACCACCTGGCTTTGGTCCCTGTTTTTTTTTAACTAAAGTGATAAGGTTTCCACATTTATTTTTGAGGAAATGCTTGCCAAATAACCATGTTTCAGCTGCTTCACAAAGTAAAACAGCACTCTAAATAAGTAATATCTATAGTCTGCCTCAAGACAGCCACAGTGGCTCCCTATACAGCACAAGTGCTGCCCATCTCCTCATTAGCACTACACATCTAAACGATGTGTACTTAGGGGTATTACGTTTACAGCTCCATCAAGGATGCTCCTGAGTCAAGATGGCTTTTTATAGAGTACATGGTAATGAAAATGATTTGTTCAGTAGTGTTGCTACCCTCATTCATGTTGAGCAACCTGTGCAAACACTACTGTTTTTATGCCATCAGCACCTATGTCCAAGAGTCTTGGGGCCCTCACAGCACACTCCAAATCAGAAGCCAAAATCATCAAGAAGGGTTACAGTACATTCTTTCAGTGAAAGAAAAATACATACAATACAAAATACATACTTCATCTATGGTAAAGTGATTTGAAAAGCTCTAATTCAGTAAGGGACGTACAACACTTGCCTAGAAAGCCCTGGGTTCAATCACACAAACATGAAAACATAAGTGCACACACACACAGAGCAATAAGCTAAAATAGTAATAGTGTTTTTTTTTTCTCTAGGCACTAGAAATAACAGATTTTCTAGTTGTCATTAATTTTTAATTAGTAATTAATCAAGCACATTAATCAACAGAACACAGAAATTTAAGAGGAAGAAATTAAACAGAAAAATTATGCCTTGCTTTCTAAGTTCACAGGCAAATAGAGGAGCCACACTCAAGCTCACCAACTGCTTTGATTTTGGTTTTATTTTATTTTCTTTTGAGACAGAGTCTCATGTAGCCAAGGCTGGACTTGACACATTGATCCTCCTTCCTTCACCTCAGAGTCCTGGACTGGGATTACAAATGTGCACCACCACACCCTTCCCTGCCTGTTTTAATTTCTAAGTTCAAACCTATTCTCTTATACATTATAATCCAGAGTTAAAGCATTACTGCTCTCTTCAGGGTCTAGCTCATTCAGAAATAAATACATATCCCATTGCTTAGTTAATAAGACATTAAATAATAGTGGGAGCACTAAAAAGAAAAAGGTGCACCTCTTAGATACTATACCTGATTTTTGGTTCCGATCAATGAGGGGGAGAGTGCTATCATCATATGAATGGCTGCTCTGGCTTCTAGATGCATTGTTTAGATTCACCTGTAGGCAAACATAAAACCCAATGTCAGAGAAACATGAATATCCACTTCTTTCTGTCCCCTCCTCCTAATCATGTACTTCCTGCTTCAGACGCTGAAGGACCACTAACTTCCTTCTCCATCATCTGCCCTAGCCCTCACTCATACATCCTTCCCGTAATGGGCTTAATTCTCTAGGTTCCTACTGACAACTATAACTCTTTAGAAAAAGAATCTGAGGCTAGGCTGTGGCACTTATCTATAATGCCAGTACTTAGGGGACTAGAGGCAGAAGAATCAGAGAATGTTAAGTACATGGAGGGTCAGAGTAGATGGGGAGGGGGATCACAATGGCCATACACAATGACCATTCACTACCAGCAGCATCTACTGCATGTTCAACATTGAGAGACTGTGGGCACCACTGCATTAAGAGATAGTATGGCAAATAAAGTCTTCACCATCTGAAAGACTTGGATTTAGTATGATAGTGAAATAGAAGAAACCAAAGACAGAGGCACTAGCCAAGGACCAGAGGAGAAGAAAAGTCAAAGCTTTGATCAAGAGTTATTATACCTGGAAGTCTGATTTCTTCCATCCTTCTTTTTCCAGTGGCTTCCGAAGCTCCTTATAGCCCCAGATAGTCTGTAAGACAAGAGCTGCTGCCCGGACTTCTTTTTCTGAGCGATTCCTATAGAGTTATAGAAAGAAACACCATACAAAGTTTGGCTGACGACCAGGAAATCTTGAACCTGTACCCTCTAACACAGTGGTTCTCAATCTTCCTAATGCACAACACTTTAATATAGTTCCTCATGTTGTAGTGACCCCAACCATAAAATTACTTTCCTTGCTACTTCTTAACTGTAATTTTGCTACTGTTATGTATTATACCTTAATTATCTGTGCTTTCCAATGGTATTAGATGACCCCTGTGAAGGCTTATTTGACAAGCCCAAAGGGGTAGTGACCTACAGGTTGAGGTCACTGCTGTAACAACACAAGAATATAAAATTGTAAAAATGGGTGAAATCAAATTTTCACCAAACTGTATATTCTGTCTGAAAGACTGAAATAGACTAATTTGATGTAAGAGTCCATCATCAATTTATAGACCAGCATTAAGAATGAAAATAGATCAATACCTCTCCACATGTCAGAGGGTAATATATGGTAAAGTAATCTAACAGAACAAAAGAGGACAGCTCCTTTCTGAAAACTCTTCTCTTACACTCAAATTCTTCCAGCTCTGATTAAGTACAAGCTCACCCTGATTTGTTGATCAACACCAGCTTCTCAATACCCTGGGTCTCTCGAAGCTTTTTGGCAGCTTCCAAGTTCTCAGCAATAACTTCATTGATGGTGTTCAAAATAGAGACCACGGTGTCTTCAGAGAAATTCCAGGAGGAGTTCTGCTGACCTCCTGGCAGATTCTTTACCAAGTTAGGAATGGCATGTTTGCCTATAGCAGTGAGACAAAAGTAACACATGTAGGAGACAAGGCAGTCAGGCCAGGCGGGGCCTTACAAATCAACTTCATTATTACATAAGACTATATCAAAGGGGCAAAGAACATGAGATAGCCATGAACCCACAGCCCCTCCTCCTTCCTCAAGTGCACTAAGACAACATGATGCTAGATATCAAAATATACCACTGATATCTTCACACAAACTAATGAAAACAGTATGTTCACTACTATTATATGATAATTCAATGGGACAGAGTCTTCTTTATGAATTAAAAAAATCAACAACTTGGGCTCTGCCTAGTACTAACAAGCTATTCTGGGCAAATGAAAAAATAGGAAAATTCTTAACAATGCCTAGAGGAAAAAAAGCAGATATTCAACAAATAATAGTGGCTATAATGTTTTTGAAGAATCATCACTTCATGTTTTTAAGAATCATTAAACCATGAACCTTTACCAACACTCAGATATATAAACTAAGGAAGATCCTATTCTTCGGTGACATCAACAAATGACTAAACATTTGCTGGAATCCAGGCACTGTACTAGGTACTGATTCAAATCCTTACCAATTAATTCTTTGTTCCGAGCATCCACAGCCAGGTTTCTCAGTGCCCCAGATGCAGCTTTCACTACTCGTTCATGTTCACTGGTCAGGAGGTCAGCTATGGCAGAGAGAGCCTTCTCTTGACGCAGAGCAGAGCGGATGTATCGACCATACTAGGAAGCACATGGGAAGTGGTGAAAAGATTACAAATGGCAGCAAACGAGTTAGCTAAATTTCCTATCTCCAAATCCATTTTCTCAGGGATACTCACTGTCCAGCGCCCAGCACACAAGTTCTGGATAGCTCCAGCGGAGGCTTCTAGGATGGCCGGCGTCTTGCTCTCCTTAAGAAGTGAAATGTATATTCGCACCACTTCTGGCTGAAATAAGAGTTCATAGCCTGTACAAGAAAAGTCAAGAGCAAACTCAGAGGCTTGATTCCATATCTCTTTCTTCTTAGATTTTTGTTTTCTCTTTTGAGACAGGGAATTGTAATGTCACACAGACTAGCCTCAAATGCCAGCACTATAAGCAAGAACCACTATGCCCAGCTGACCCCCTGCCTTAAGGTGGTGGCACACGCCTTTAATCCCAGCACTCAGGAGGCAGAGGCAGGTAGATAGATCTCAGCCTGGTCTACAAGAGATAGTTCTAGGACAGCCTCCAAAGCCACTGAGAAACCCTGCCTCTAAAAACAAAAAACAAACAAACAAAAAAAGATAACTAGTCTAGCCTGAAGCAATGTACACACTTTTCATCTCAGCCCTTGGGAGGTGGAGGCAGGTAGATATGAGTTTGAAGCCAGCCTAGTCTATATAGAGAGTTCCAGGACAGCCAGGGCTACATAGTGTGACCCTATCTCAAAAAACAACATAAAATAACAACAACTAGTCCATGGCAAAAATAGAATAGACATCAATTCTATCATATTCAATTCCTGTCTCCTTCCTCCTTGACTTGTACTCCATAGCTAAATGAAGCCTTGTTTTCACCGTGAGTAATCAGGCTTAGTGATTCAATCTCTCAAACAAATTATTTCTGATTTAACTCAGTAATTCTCCCCACCAGGAATATAACTAAATGAAAGGACAGCCTGAGATTTAACATCACTTAACTAACATCTTTTATATTTATGGAAAGCTAGCAAGTTTATATTTATTAATACAATGAGCCCAAAAATCCAAGCTGCGATAGATTTCTTCTGACAGTAAGGTTCAAGATCAAAAAATAGTAGCCACTTAGCTAAGTCTCTGGCTTTTCTTTTCCTTTTTTGAGGCATTCTCTCACTCTCTACCCCAACCTGGCTTTGAACTCACAGCAATCCTCCTGCCTCAGCTGCCCAAGTACTACGTTTGCAGGCAGGTACTATTACATCCAGCCTAGCTTCTGACTTGAGACTAAATACTGTGAAGTTTCCCAATATTTTTCAACATCACTTCAAATCCAACAAGTCAGAGAGAATTGTTAATATAGTGCTACCATGTGAAATAGTGACTCTGCTTTCTCTTCACATCATATAAATCTTTTCGCCTTTTACCATGTGCAATAATGTTACCATGCGCAAAAACTGTATCTGAGCTCTCTGGAGACTGAGAAAAAGGAAAATTTACCTCGAGCAGGACTAGTTCTTTTAGGGAAATCCACTGTATCATTTGCTGGATCCTCTGTGGGCTTTTTCCCTATAAAACTGAGAAAAGGGTAGAGAGAATTCAGTAAAGAATTTTTAAAAGAAGGAAAGATTTCACCTCAGTTTTTCATCCTTCAGTCAGAATTTTCAGATCAGAGATGCAGCATCAAAAGAGGCAAAAGAAGGAAACCCCACACATACCTGTCCAAATAGGGTGGTGCAGAACAAGGACCAAAATCAGGCAATAGATTGTTACAAAAAGGATAACCACTCTTGCTACTAAGAAAGAGTTCTTATAATGGAGACTGCTATCCAGAAACAGCAGGTCAAAACCATAACCCAGAAGAGCTAAAACTTATTTCAATGCTTTTCCTCAACTAAAATTTTCCTACATGCATCCACAGGGAAGGGTTAGACAAGGAAATATTAGGGAAGGTAAAAACCAAAACATGCAAATTAGAAGGAGATAAGCGCCTTAAAAGATTGCACTCACCTCTGGAGAACCACTCATCTTCCAGTGCATCACCAAGGTGGAAAGCGAGGAGAGAAATGAAGGAAGAAAACGCAGGAGAAAGATGTCAACAGGATCGTGGGCAAGTACACAAGAAAGCAGAGGAACAGGAGGAATAGGGAGGAAGGCCCCAGATTAGTTGAGTTCTTGTCTTTCAATACCCCATTTGCCAATACACTAACAACCATCACCACCATCACCATCACCACCGTCAAAGCATCCAGAACAAGGGGAGCAGCAGCAGAGCAAAAAAGGACAAGTCTCCACCAGGTAGACTTCCCGACTATTTGTAAGTCCTAAAAAGCTAAGTGGTCCCTCCCTGTCCCCCACATTAAAGAACAGGAACTAAGACTTACCTTTGCCCTTCTTGGCCCCAAAGCAACTGGCAGCATGTGGCCCAGTACTATTAGCCACACTGGGAAGTGCCTCTTGGTAGCGTTCAGCCTGTGGGATTTCTCGATGAACTTGATATGATAAGTTCCGAAGGAGGCAAACACAGTTCTCCACAAGCTTAGGGACACAAAACAAAAGGCCCAATTGGAAAAGACAATGTTTGTGGTGATTTCCAGGAAATCCTGTCTCCATAATTTGAATATTAAAGTATCAATCCTAAAATGCATAATTCAATCCATCTTCTCTCAGGTTGCTTTCTCAGTGCCCTAGGCTCCTCAAAATCCTTGTTATCTTCATGCTAACAGAAGAACTAACTACAGACATATAATGGCTTCTGAAACTATTTAATGATGTGACATTTAGGTCATTGTTTTCCCTACTTAGAAAACGTATAACCTAGGAAGCTACTGAGCAGCTTTAATATATATGGGAGAAGGAGAAGGGGTAAAGTCATTCACAGCACCTGCTGCACAACAAGCCAGGCATGATCTTGAATGTACCAATGTACCTGTAAACCCAGTGCTATAGGAACAGAGACGGGATTGCTGAAGTATATTTATTGCTAGTCTAGCCAAAGAATACAACCTCAAGGTGAGACCTTGCCTAAAACGAATAGGGTGAAGAGTACCTGAGTGACAAAGGACACCAATGTTTTCCTGGCCTGTGCTCTTGTGCACTTGCACTGAAGTACACACACACACACACACACACACACACACACACACACACACACACACACACACACACACACACACACACACAACACACACACACTCACTTTGCTTCTTCTAAACTCAATGCCCATTTTAAGGAGAAGGGGTTGGTATTTTATATTATCTGATAGCCTGAAGTGGAAGATCTGAACCACGGTTACCTTGTTAACAAAATTCACTCAGTCATTAACTTACCTTGCTGTCTGAATCCTTCTGTCCAATTTCTGCCTGAACAATGAAAATGAGGGCATCAACTAAGCCATCACATTCCCGAAGTTTCCGGCGAGCTTCACTCCTCTCTGAGCTTACATTTCTAAGGGAAAACACAAAGTTCTGAAGATGACTCAAGTCCCTGATGCCCTCTTTGATATCTTTCTTCATCTACATCTAAAGCTTCCTTAAAACCTTTTCTATTCATTACAAATAAACAGTTCATACCTATTAAAAGCAAGGCATTACAGTTGGAAACTGACTGATTGTCTTCTAAACTTTTCATTAGCTTGTGGTATCAGGCTGAAAATGTATACCAGGGGCTGGAATGGGGAGACAATCCCAATAACCAGCACAACATGGTAGTTCAAGCCCCAGAAGACCTGACACCCTCTTCAGGCCTCCTCAGGCACCAGATACACATGTGGTACACAGAAAAATATGCAGACGAGACACCCATACACATAATAAGTATGTTTTAAAATGTATACCACAGCTCAAAATGGTAGTCCACACTTGCAATGCTAGCACTTGGGAGGCAGCAGCAGGAAGATCAAGAGTTTGAGGCCAGAGTGGACTTATTAGAAAGCAAAACCCTATCCACTACCTCCACCACCACACCCAAGCATATGTGCACTGCAGGCGTGAGCCCATGTGCATTCCTGTGCGAATGAACATCAGCAGTAGAGATATAGCTAAGTGGTAGAGAGCTCACCCAAGCATATACAAGGCAATAGGTCCAAATACCCAGCACCACAAAATGGTGGTTTGTGAGAGGGCATACCAACATCAATGAATTCAGACGGAAGCATCATTTATTGTACAGAAGTACAAATATAGGGAATGATAAGGTGCCTGATTTGAAATATGGATAACTGAGACAGCAACTAACACACACACACAAGTCCAGAACCAGATAAGAACCTTGTATGTGGGAGGTTCTAAGCAGGTATTTACTTAACTAGAAGAATAAAGTCAAAGAAGAATAAAAGTGACGAGAATGGGAGGAGGAAGGAAGGGAATAAACACACGAATGAGCAGGTAAACATGGTGCACACAAGAAAGCAGCAAAAGCAGGTGGGATGATGTCAAACACACCTTAGAATAGAAACTTGAAGTAGAGCAGAAGCTTGCCTAACAAATGAATTTGGTCCTCAGTACAACAAAACAAAAAAGCAAATAACTCCACCCCCCCAAATACCTCAACTTCTAATTTTAAAAATTAGAAAGAAATTATATCACTCTTCAAAAAGTGAATATTGGGATGCTTGTGTGCATGTGGTTAAGATTGGGCCCAGGCAAACACTTTACCACTAAGCTACAATTTACCTGCTGCTAGATTACTCCCTTTTTGAGTTGGTTTTACAAAGCTAGCCTTGGACTCACTCTAGCACAGACAGACTACTGACTCAGCCTCAGATGGGTTTACAGGCCTGCACTATCAACTCAGGAAAAATTCAATCTTTATAATCTCAAAAATCGAAAACCTTCCCTTACCTAAGGCAGCCAGCTGTGTTGGTGAGCACTGACTCCCATTCAATATGCCGTGGCTTACAGTCTTCATTAGGTTCTCTCTCCCAACCAGAATGAGGAATGATCACTTCGTCTGTCAAGGCGTGAAGTGCATGGTCCACAATTTCCATTTTGATTGAATCATGGGATGAGAGATTCCACAGGGTTCCTGACAAGGTCAAGTCATAAGAGAGTTCTCCAGTACCCAAGACAGTGTGTCAGAAGAGTATCAGAAAGAGCCCCATTCTATTCCTTCTTAGAGGTCCTCAATAATCATAGATATGTCCATTACGGAGTCTATATGATTCCATGTAGTGTTAGCCAGGCTGCTTTCTGCTTATGACCCATGGTAAGATATATTTTATTCTGTAGTTCAATTCAGACACACAGTCATGAAATAAAGCTTTACTGAATAGTATTTACTATAATCTATGTTCAATAGTCTACACCAGTTTCTCTACCTCAGCAACACCGTAACTTTGGTCCACATAATTCTTTATTATGGGAAGTTGTCCTGTGTATTGTTGTATGCTTACCAGTTAACCAGTATCCTTAGCCTTTATTCATTAGATGCCAAGGACTCTCTACCCCACCCCAAGTTATGACAGCCAAAGCAACTCCAACAATGGAGATATCCTCTGGAGGCCAAATCAAGAATCAATATTATTTCTTTTTCTTTCTTCCTCCTGGAATAGTGATTATGGCCCACAAAACTGTGCTCAGCTTACACTAATGGATCACTATGTACAATCTGGAAATTTTTCATCCTAAATAAAGGACCACAAGTTCAAATTTCTAAATGGAACAGGCAGGTTGAATCAAGACAGGCACTCATTTAAAACAAATTATAAGGTTATGAATAAATGGCAATTGACATTCAGCTTCTGTGTTTGGAAGACCAGTTCTTCTACTACTACAGTTGATCAGAAATAACAGAATGTGCCAAACATGGTGGCACATGCCTTTAATCTCAAAACACATGAGGCAGAGGCTAGTAAATCTCTGTGAGTTGAGTACAGCCTGATCTACATGGTAAATTCCAGGACAGCCAGGGCTATGCAGAAAAAGACCCTGTCTCAAAAAAAAAAAAAAAAGAGGGGGGGGGGCCTAGAGAGATGACTCAGCAGTTAAGAGCATTTGCTGTTGTTTCAGAGGACCCAGGTTCAATTCCCAGCACCCACATGGTGGCTCACTGTAACTCCAGCTCCAGAGTATCCAACATCCTCATACTGACATACATGCAGGCAAAACACCAATGCACATAAATACAAAATTTTACAAAAAGAGAGAAAACACGAATGCATACAGAATGCATCAGAGGATTACTGCATGTGTCATCTGTCATCCAATCAAATCGTTAAAGCAGATTTGACCCAAAGGCCACTACTTCAGAACCTATAGTCAAAAGGTAATGGACTGGCCAGGCAGGGTGGTGCACGCCTTTTATACCAGCACTTGGGAGACAGAGACAGGCAGATCTCTGTGAGTCCAAGTCCAGCCTGCTCAACATAGTGAGTTCTAGGACAGACAGAACTACATAGTGAGACCCTGTCTCAAAATTAAGGCCAGGCAGTAATGGCACACACCTTTAATCCCAGCACTTGAAAGGCAGAAGCAGGCAGCTCTCTGTGAGTCTGATACCAGCCTGGGCTACAGAGTGAGTTCCAGGGCAGGCTCCAGAACTACACATAGCCACAGAGCAACCTATCTTGAAAAACAAAAACAACAACAAAAAAAAAGGGCAATGGACTGGAAATCTCTACATCCCTGCCTCTCTAGAAAGTAAGAGTGATTCCCATCCTAGCACTCACCAGTAATGACTTCGGTGAGGTCCATATCACGAGCCTTTCGGAGCAATCGGACCAGGGCAGGAACACCATCACAGTTTTTTATGGCAATCTTGTTATCTTGGTCACGCCCAAAAGAGATATTCTTGAGAGCTCCACAGGCTCCAAGGTGCACTTCCTTTTTGGGATGGTCTAACAATCCTACCAATACCGGGATACCCTTGAGCTTCCGCACGTCAGTTTTCACCTTGTCATTTCGATAGCATAGGTGCTGCAGGTATGCAGCTGCATTGGACTTAACAGCATCCAAGCGGAAGCCTAGCATGGCAATCACTTCTGGCAGCTCAGGCTGTCTCCAGTTTGGAGGTGGGGGCACTCCCTTTCGCAGACTATCCAAGCTTGCTAAACTTCCCCGCTCATGCTGAGCCAAAGGAGCCCAATAGTACTGATCCGGTGGCACCTCCTCTCCAATCATGTCTTCATAGCTCCTGCAGTTTTGAAAGAACCAAGAACCAAGCAGTTAAATCAGGATTCTTGGACATTCCCGTTAACCATTATCTTCAAGGCAGGATCAACCTCAGGTCTACACAGAGATCATCTATCTCCTTTGTATGGTCAATTTTAATAAATTTTCTGTGCAAATGTAAGTCTTCTCAATGGTCCCCCACCTTATTTTTTGAGACAGGAGTTTCTTACCAAACCAGAAGCTTGCTGATAAGCTAAACTGAATGTCTTGCAAGACCCAGGGATCCTCTTGTCTCTGCCTCCCCAGTGCTGGGATCACAAGTGTGAGCCACCACAGAGCTCAGCTTTTTATGTCGGCACTGGAGCTCAAACTTCAGTTCCCATGCTTGTGGGAGAAGCATTTTATCAACTGAACCATCTCCCTGCCCAACTTTAATTTAAAGATCTGTATTTAGACCAAAACTCCCTCTCTTTTTTTCTTGTGAAGTTTGCTGATTGAGAAAGACAAGTACTTGGAAATGTTAATCACAAAAACAACAAATCCTGATTCTTTAGTGCTTACTTGAATGACATATGACAGCTATTAACTTTTCTGTAAAGAATGAAATAAATCCTTAAACAGAAGAGTTAAGCAAGGTGACTGATTCCATGTCACGTAAGTAAGCACGCAAAGCCTGAGAACAGGTAAGGCTTATGAGCCCAGCACTGGGGAGGCAGAGACAGATGACAAGTCTGAGTCCAGAAAGGTCTTAATAGGAAGTTCCAGGCAATCTAGGGCTACAAACCAAGATTCTATCCCAATGCATTTTCCTTCCATCCCTACCCTCAAAAAGAAACAAACAAAAAACCCTGAGAATAGTTCTTAAATCTTAGCTAAACAGGAAACAAGGCATTTGCACCCAGGAAACAGTAGAACAAGACCATTTCATATTTAATTTTCCTTGCCCTATTTTGGAAATTACAAAAGAGGAACTGACCAAGAAAAATGGAGGACTTCTTGCTACATTGTTATGGACTTGGCTTTAGTACTAATGAGGTATAAACTTGAACCTTAATTGTCACAGATCATCCCAAGGCCAACAATGAGCTCCATCCTCCAACTTAGTACATACTTCTAATTCTGCCAAAATGGCATCTACACACCAACAGCTAATTGGAATGTCCCAGCTCTTGGATTAGAGGAAGAAACTGAAAGAAGTCAAATGAAAAGCAACTTTTCCTGGTTCAGTACTACCAACAACCACTAGAGGGTGAGCCTGTCATACTATTATTTATTCATAACTACCAGGAAGGAAGAGCCCCATTATTTGTGAGCTTATCTCACCCCGTGGGAGCCACAAGGGAGAAGAGAATCTATTGTGTGGGACTCTCCAAATAAGGCTGTTGTTTGTCCTAAAAGACCGGTCACTCCCACTGTCATCAAACACTGAAAGTTAGCCTGATCACAAGGCCTACATAACAGGTACCAACCCTGACTGTTAAACAACAAAAGATTCAATGGGACAAATCATTTAGTTTAAAAAAAAAAATCTTAAAAATCACTTTAAATTTAAAATGTCATTGAAACAAAATAAATTATTTTAAAAGTAGATTACACACACGTATATACATATATTTATACATACATACATACATATGAGATTTCCTTTTAATGAGAGAAAACAGGACACACCTAAGAAAAACCCAAGGATACAAATTGTTCTTCATGAGAGAATGGTGTTTCAGGCTATGTGTGTTGAATAGATTTTACCTTTCTTGTTTAAGATAAACAACTACAAAAAAATTGCCATTGCCAGATTTTTTTTAATCACTCAAGGAAATCTATATACTTCCTTCTTTCAGAGGCAATAGATCAAGATTCTTTACTATGAGGCTAGAGATGACTCAGTATTTAAGAGAAATGGCTCTTAACCAAAGGACCTAGGTTCAATTCTCAGCACCCATAAGGCAGCTCAAAAATGTCTGTATGTAGTTCCAGTTCCAGGGGATCTGACACTCTTACACAGACATACTTGCAGGTAAAACACCAATGCACATAAAAATAAATTAATTAAAAAGAATTCTTTCCTTTTACAAATGACAAAACTGCTCAAATGTTCAAATAACTCGCTTACGGCTATATAGATAATGGTAGAGGTACAGCTAGAACCAGTTTTCAAGTTCATTGGTCTTCCCACTACTCACTGCCTCACTAAGTTTGACCTTGCAACTGTTCTTGTAGGCCCGGAACAGGAAGCAGATGTTCTTGCTAGTCAAGCAGGTTTCTAAGCCCAATGTCACCCTGGAGCAAACCCAAGAACCAAGCCCCAAATCCTTTCTATGTGTACTGCCACTTCACAGGACAGCGGGAATGGCCTGGCCATCCACACCCTTCTGTGTCTAATCTCTCTTTGCTAATGAGGAAGTTAGAGTAAACTGACTTACATTCCAGCCCCACTCCCAGGGCAGACTGTTCCAATGATAGCTGCTATCTACCCCTGGCTAGCTTACAACAGCTAAGATCTGGTGCCCCATCAGGAATAAAAGGTGAGTCACATGGGAGTTGAATTTGTTAACCACGCCATCTGAAGAGTGTCAGTGACTCAGGCTTAGATAATAGAGCCTCTACTCCTGTCCTCAGACTAAATTCAGTTTATGTTTAGCCAATACTGCCTAATATATTCAGAAAATAAGTGCCAAGACCTTTGCTTTGGAAGGTCATGAACCTACATACAGAAACTGAGCAACAGCTGCCAGGGCAACCTCACTATCAAGATAACTATAAATCTTGTCTTGAACCGAGTGGTGGCGGCGCATGCCTTTAATCCCAGCACTCAGGGGAGGCAGAGGCAGGCGGATCTCTATGAGTTCCAGACCAACCTGGTCTACAAGAGATAGTTCCAGGACAGCCACCAAACCCACAGAGAAACCCTATCTCGAAGAATAAATAAATAGATAGATAGATAAATAAATAAATATCTTGTCTTGGAAAATGTAGACCCTGATTTATTCTAAACTAATGTTTTCAGCCCAAGACCAAACATGTTTTTTGTTTATAACCAGTGAAAGGTTCAGGCTTTAATGCTGATCGACAATATCTCTTTAAGAGACAGACCCTGCCCCCTGACAACAGTCAGGGCACGCACAGGAAAATGTTCTACATCCTCACCACATCATCCGCTATGCATTAAGGCCTGCTGAGGACCCTGGGCATGCATGGAACCTCAGTGCACATGGGCAGTCTTGCCTTTAAAAGTTCCAACTTCCCTGCTGCTCTCTCTCTGCTTCACTCTCCTCCCACCTACGTGCTCTCTCTGTCTCTCTATGGTGATCGGCCATGGCGGTCGATCACCCTGTTCCTCTTCTCTCTTAGTCTCCCTACTCTGCCGGGCTTCTAATAAACTGGTTAACATGTCTTATCTGCCTCTTTTCCTCTTTTTCTCTTTTTAAACAAAAACATAACATCCAGAACTAATAATTTTTAAAATAACCTTTTGTAAATATGAAAACCAAGTAACAGACATGACAAAGATACTAATGCATAGCACACGAAACCTAAGATGGGTCCTTTAGAAAGGCCTGCCAGCCAGGCCTTTAATCCCAGCACCCAGAAGGCAGAGGCAGGGGCTGTCTGTGTGTCAGAGGCAAGCCAGAGCTATATAGTGATACCCTGTCCCACAACAAACAGGGAAGGAAGGAATAAATGAAGAAAGGGAAGGAGGCAGGGAGGGAGGAAGGACCTTTCAATCACAATCTGAAATACTCTTCCAATGCAACTACTGATCATCCAAACAGTAATCCTTCATGTCACCAAAGATCACCCAAGGGAATAAGTACCCTTAGAATAGATAGCCTCTTATTAACCGTTGGGAGTATTACTAATATACCAGGGGCCATTCCCCTTCTCACTACCTTCATAAAACCCTAACTAAATACAAAGTGTCAGAGCTTCTGTGAGGTCAAAAGTGGTTGTTTATAAACACCAGGATTAGAACTACTGCAAAGACAGTTTTAAAAAACAATTTTAATTGTGTTCTAACACCAAAAACATAGCTTAAAAAGCTCTCAGGAAGCCGGGCATTGGTGGCGCATGCCTTTAATCCCAGCACTCGGGAGGCAGAGGCAGGCAGATCTCTGTGAGTTCGAGGCCAGCCTGGTCTCCAGAGCGAGTGCCAGGATAGGCTCCAAAA